ATATGTACTGAGCTAACATTTACATAGTTATATGCCTATATATGTATGACACGAACATTTACTTATTTATCTTCAATTATCTTTCTGCTTCAGTTATTTTCCTTATTTTATTTCATTAACTATTCATGTATCTACCTGCGGTGGTCACCACAAGACAAACAATCTTATTCGGTCTCCGCATATTCAACTTCATAACTTTTATTCACTTATTTGATATGTTGTTGATTATGAATAAAACTTTGAAAATGAAATGAAATGAAATATATATATGGATATTATTACGGTTAGAGGCACAAAAATGACACTCGCAAGCAAACACATTAAGAGATTAAAAAATGACGCAAAATAGGAATACAAATACGCAAGCAGACACAAAAAACACGAGCAGACGCAAAGATAACCAAGCAGATATACAGACTTCTCTGCAAACACACCCATTCGTGCGTAGACTAATATTCAGAATGACAGAAATAAATGACTTTTGTCCAGTCAGACGTAGGACATCAATGAACAGCATACATTAAGTGGCTGTGCAGTGTACACTGTACAGTGTACATGTTTGGCTTCACACTGCCGGTTAAAAATTGTTTGTGTGTAGATACGTAGGCAGGTATGTGTGTCTGCGCATGAACTCATGCATGCATGCATGTAGTTTGTTAGTTAGAAACAAGTGTGTCTCTAGTTACAAACACATGTGCATGTTTGAACCCATAATTGATTAGAACTATAGAGGAAGTAATAATCATATCCGTGTTCAGCTTTAACCTATCACACAGACTGGTATTTTAACGCTCCATGTGTATGTGTTTGTAAGTAGATATGTGTGTGTGTGTGCGTGCGTGTGTAGAGGTACATCTTATTTGTAGGTAGTGTGAGTCCATATATGTATTTAGAAAGATTTTTCCCAATGCACCAATTGATTCATAAGGGCTGATTAGGATAGCAACAGTTACATTCCCATGCCGGCTTACAGACAAAGGAGGATAATTTTGCGTACAACTTTTAAGTATTGTTATATGCGGAAATGTAAATATTTTCTGTCCGTAAGTTCAGTTTTATCTGCTCTATACAAAGTTTGCTACTATCGATATGCATTAGACTTGTTAATGAAATAGCAAAAATATGCAGATAGAAAATGTCTACTTGAGTTTTATAACGTGTTTTCGCAGTAGATACGTGTCGAACTGCATGCTAAGAAGGAAAGGAGTATCTATATAGTGGGCTGACGATGGTTGGGCTCGTGGAGAGGTTAGCGATGGTTTGGGTTAGAGTCCCTCTCCCTCCAACGTTTTTTTATAGAGTTTATTTTTCATATTTTTCATTATAAATAATAAATAATTTTATCCTTGGGTAATTATTTCAAAAAGTTTTGAAATAATTTTAACTTTCCACTACTTTTGGAAGAAGCAGCTGATGTCATATCACATATATTTAATGTATCGTTTGTATGGTGCTTCATAGTATGCGTGCAAAAATTTGAAAGGCTGGATGTTAAAAAAGTGAATCATATCTACAGAGAGTGGAAGGCGTCCAAAGGGAGAAAATAACTTATTTTTCAACATGGAAAGACTTGCTGAATGCAAATACTCTGTTAAAATTTTACTACCTTTTTAAAAACAACAAACTGTCACTTTTAAAAATAATTTTCCATAATATCTATAACAAAGGAAAAAAAGTAAATGAATAGAATCCATTTTATTCAAAATTGACAAGCACAGAATGTTTATGGAGGCATGTGAAAAGATCGTAGAGAGCCAATATTCACACACGCACAAATACAAAAGCACACACACATTCACAAACACACGCACACACTCACATAGACTCACACACACATAGGCCTCATCTCATTTTTCAAACACAGCGTAAACATGCTCAATTGCTCAGCCATAAACACACATACATGCACACTAAGTTCATGTAATAGAAATAATTTATTTTTAGGGATAACTTCTAAAATACATTGCCATATTACCTTCTTGTGAGTGTGTGCGCGCGCGCGTGTGTGTATGGCATGCATATTCTTGAAAGGATTGGTTCATCTTCCATCTTCAAAATTTAATTGTGTGAGCATTTAATTATTTAATTATTTAATTAAATAATATTATGTTTAGTTATTTCAATTCAATCATTCAATTATTGTTTATTTATTATTATTTATTTTCGGTTAGCTAACGTTTAAAAACGAATTTTTTAATTTAAATAGTTGTTGAAGCACGATGAAAATGTTTATACGTACGTGGTTTGCTGGCTGGCAGAGGTTCCGACACGATGCAGCTTATCACCGTCCATCGAAAAATAAAAAAAAAGAAAAAAAACTTTCCAATGATTTAAACGAAGAATCTTCTTCTTTATTCAGAGAACAACCTCTGCAGCATAAATCTTTATGAGAATGTTGGATGCAAAAATTCCAACGGATGATGGTCATCATCATATCTTTACTTTTTTCACCAATCCTGTTTTTGTGTCCAGGCTTGGACTTGCATATGATTGTGTAATTTATTAGCAAAAACATTTTCCTCGATGTTCCATTTTTTTATGTCCTAATCTCTGTAGCATCTGATCCGCGTGTGCTGGTGCGACAATCTCCTGACAAGTATGAACTAACGCTTGTGAAAATAATTTAGTCAACTTTATTTATTCAGATTCTAACTCGTCAATAAGCATAAGAATATGAAGATGATAAATATTTAAATATTTAAATTTAAAATAAACATTTTGGTATGATATTAGTTGTTGTTTGTTCACTTACTTGAACCAAGAAAAAGGTCATCACTATTTTTGTATTTTTTTTACACACACCACACCCATCTACCCACCTACACACAGGCACACACACACACGCACACACGCACACACACATTCATACAGAGGCACTTACACGCATGCGAACATTCCATTTGCGCGAGAGATAGTCAACTTTCAATTGACCATAAACTTTATTAATGTTTGCTCTGCAACAAGTCAACAACAACAGCAACACCGAGAACAACAACATCAACAACAACGAACGCAAAAAGACAATCAACACACACGAACAAACCAGCAAGATGAACGCATACAAAAGCATACCAAAGCACAAACAACAATAAAACATATGAATAAAATTTTTTTTTTTTTGTTTTTTATAGCGAATAAAAACAATTAGTTTGTACACCAGCACATACGGCCATGACGATTGAAGTACTTTCCACAAACAACATAAGCTTTCCATAGATAAACAACATAAACAACAAGGTAAACACAAACAGATGATACGCCATAGATAAACTAACATTGAAAAAACACCAACAATAAAATATTTTCAGTTTCGAAACCAAACTATAAGATATAAAACAAAGAAGTTTGTCAAGAGAAAAATAGAACATAGTCATTCCTGAATAAAGACGAATAAAGATCCGTATTAGAAACTTCTGGCACAACCAGGAGTTTCTAATACGGATCATCATCTGCATGGGATGTCCCACCAAAGATAACAACGACATCAACTGAACTAAAAATGGCAACAACGCAGTTACAACAACAACGAATAAACCATTAGCAATGACTTCAACGATAATATTATTGACGCCTTGATGGCCATGTTTATATAACTATCTAGTCTAACTATCAATATTGGTGGTAATAGCAGTAATAGCAGTTGTAGTATTAGTAGTAGTAGTGGTAGTAGTGTTAGTAGCAGTAGAAGTAGTCACAATAGTTGTAGTAGTAGTAGTTGTTGTAGTAATAGTATTAGTTGTAGTAATAGTAGTAGTTGTAGTAGTAGTAGTGGTTGTTGATGATGATGATGGCGATGAAGATGATGATGATGATGGCGATGATGATGATGACACCGGCGATGATGATGACGGAGATGATGGCAAAATCAATAGAATAATGTGGCCAATATATGTC